AGGAGGAAGAATGAAGCTTTAAACACTGTTCACTGAAAGATTCATTCATCATAAAGTCAGAGCACCTATTTTCAGACTTCAAAAACCTTCGCAAAGACGGTGAAAGAAAAGGCCATTAAGGACATTCAGCTCCAGCAAACTTCAGCCTGTGATGGATATGAACAGACAGTGATGCAGGTGAACTCGGAGCCAAAAACAGATTTATTTACTGTATTTGTACAATTGCAAGAAGGTCAAACTTAAAGCAGAGTTGTCACGTGGTGCATCATTCTCTCCAGGACACGCTGCAATGAAAATACACATTTGATAATCATGAATGGTTTTTATGTGTTTAGCCTTTACTTTGTCATTTAGATATTAGTCTAATATAGCTAATATAGCTAATGTAGCTAATACAGCTTCAGCCCCTGTTACCTTCATATAAGTCTTATACAACGCTGTTTTTTTTTTTTGTTTGTCAAATAGGGCTCCTTGAACCTTTTGAGTTGCCTGGGCCGCTAAAAAGGAAAAAATGCCCGGGCCGTTTTTTTGTCCCAGTCCAGCCCTGAGTATGACCAGTTTACATATATTTCCTCAAATGTCCTGGATGATCATCGTCCTTAAACCCAAAAAACATTGTGGGAAAACATTTTACAAACCATTTGGAGGCCTCTGTATGGGGGGATCTATTCCGATGGACGTAAAGGCTGTAGATCCAGGACTCGGGCTGTAGAACCAGGACTGACGCTGAAGATCCTGGACATGAAGCCCATGGTGAAGTTCACAGTTGCAGACTAAAAACGGCAAGTTCAAAGGTCCCACCATCACGTCATGAAGCAGACAATGGGACAGCGGGTGAATAGCAATGACCAAACTACAATGAAGTCACAATGATAACAGTTAAAGAGGAGAGGATTGTGCTCAAGAGCCTGAATTTGAAAGAATTGAGAACAGTACTTCTCACATCCTAATTACAACATTCTTTTAAAATATGAATTCTACAAAATGGTTTTTCATCTATTTCAATTTCAAGAGCTAACAGTGAAAAAATGTGATATTTGAATAGACTAGTTGGTGGAAGGATTTTAATATTCTAATATCCTTGAGACAGTAATTGCTATTCATTTCCCAGCAGAAACCTTCTCTGTTCAAATGACTGTCTGTAACTTTTAAACAGAATAATTTAATGTTATGCACAAGTTTCTATCGACTTCAGATCCCAACACAAAACAGGACAACAGTATGAATTTGCAGCAGAGAGGTGACGACTGCTGTCTGATCCACCTGTTTAATAATCGGGGCCATTACAGAAAAGACAAAGAAAGGTGGGGGAGATAAAGTACCTGTGTTGTTATCAATACCAGACAGGAAATCACTTAGCCATGCACTCACGGGAAAGCACCGCCGCCTGAAAGCTACATTTATCAAGGAGCGCTGCCATGACATCCAGACCCTATCCGTATTACCAACAGTGGAAATGTTCCCGCATTCACTGGGTTCTGCTGCCTGCATTATCAGACCATATAGGCAAGGCAAGGCAAGGCAAGTTTATTTATATAGCACAATTCATACACAAGGCAATTCAAAGTGCTGAACAGAACAAGAAAGCATTAAAATCATAAATAATCACAGTACATTAAAAAAAGATAAAAATATAAAATCCCTCAGTTGTATGCACAGCTAAACAGAACTGTTTTCAACCTTGTCTTAAACATTGTCAGAGAGGAGGCCTGTCTCACATCTTCAGGAAGACCGTTCCAGATCCTAGCAGCATGAATCTGAAAAGCAGCCTCCCCATGTTTAGTTCTGACTCTGGGCACTAACAGGAGTCCAGTCCCTGTGCTCCTCAGAGTCCGGGCTGGTTCATATGGGACTAACATGTCACTAATATAGTTTGGTGCGAGGCCATGGAGAGATTTGTACACAAGCAGAGCTGTTTTAAAGTCTATTCTCTGAGCCACAGGAAGCCAGTGCAGGGACCTGAGGACCGGACTAATGTGGTCGTACTTCCTGGTTCTAGTCAGGACTCGAGCTGCTGCATTTTGAATGTACTGCAGCTGTTTTACAGCCTGTTTGGACAGACCTGTGAGCAGGCCATTGCAGTAGTCTAACCTACTGGAGACCAATGCATGGATAAGAATCTCCAAGTCTGCTTTAGACACTATGTTTTTGATCCTGGCAATGTTTTTTAGATGGTAAAAAGCTGCTGAGCGCTTTTTACCATCTTTTACCATATAAGCGCTCAAGCGTACCATTTACAGAGAAACAATAGGCTGATCCGTCAACGTTCAAACCCCAAACCCATAATGCACAGTGCCTCTCTGCTGCATGCAAAGGGAAGCTATTTTGAACCAGCTGAGGTTCATACAAGGTTAGAAGTCCTGATAAAAGGTACACAATGTAACGTAACCTTATGAAATTGCAGCCACCTGCTTGCCAGGGAAAAAAAAAACGTTATAAGCATGAAGAGTAGCAGGTGGCATATTCTGCACCAAGAACATTTAAAAACCCCATTTCTTCACATTTCTGACAGAACAGCGATAACCTGTGCATCTGTGGTGCATGTGCGTGCAAGGTCGGGACGCCATCGAAGAAGCTGATGTTGAGCAGTAGCTGTTTGGGGGTGCTCTATTGGCATATTACCAAGGATTGACTTTTAACTCCAGGAAAAAGCTGTGGGCTTGAGGACTTGGTCGGTTTATTTGGGTGCCAAAGTATTTATTTGAGGATGTAAAGCCACCAAACAAGTGAACATGTGTCCAAGAGTTAAGGATTCTCTGCTTTTCACTCAAAGACCCTTCACATGCCATGATTCTTTCACTCCATACACGATGGGGATAAACTGTAGCCACAGCTGCCCTGGAGCACACTGACAGAAGTGAGGCTACCAATTTGTACCATCAGTCCCTCCGACTACCACGGCAGGCTCATTCTAGGCAATGTGGGTGAAGTGTCTTGCCTAAGGACACTTTACAGTCGCTGCCACCTCCACTGTGGCTCTGGTGTTCCTAGAGGTCTCCCATCACAGTACTAACCAGGCCCTGCCCTGCACAGCATCGGAAGTTTGATGGGATCTGGCTTTTGCATGCAAGTATGTCCACATTTTGTCTTTGTATTTACTTTTCTTCTTTTAGCAGTCCAGCCTCTAGTCTGTTTACAAACAAATCTGTGAAGACTTTTTCCTCTAGCGAACCAGACTTGGTCCAGTTCAAACAAACAGACCAAATGTGAATGCTCCCTTTGTCACAGCCCGCTAAAAAATAATTATAATTTAGATTTTGGCTTGTGCAAATAGAAACCTGTGCGTTCAAAAGAGTAGTTGTTTCCGTTTCTGTTGTTGGGAAGAAATTTCTTGACGTCCTGCGATCAATGTTCCCTTTCCATTGGGGGGGATGGGGGGGAACCACTGTGTCCAATGGAGTGTGACGTGTGAGTGACATCAAGGCTGCTATACATGGGGGGTGTCTCTCATTGGGGGGTCTCTATCCGTGGACCCTGTCTCTGACAACACCATGAAGAGGAAGGCCCCTGCTGCTGAGGCCAGACTATCTCTCTCCACCATATGTGCTTGTGTGTCTGTATGGTTTTTATTCTGTTTTCCCTGTATGCATCTAGGAACTGTTTAGTGTCATTAAATGTCGTTGTTTATATCTTTTTGGTGTGTAACTAGTATAGTGTTTTGCAACTTTTTTGTAGCTGTGGCACACCTTTTTGGTTGACAACACGCACATAAGATAAGATATACTTTATTGATCTCACACAGGAGAAATGTACATGTCACATCTGGCATGGATAGAAACACTCAAGATTGTGCAAAAGAAAGAAATGTGCAAAACCATCACAAACATGAAACTTTGCATCTTTTAGTATGAAAGCAAAGTCATTCTAATCAAAGTAGATATATACGTAAAATGAAATTAAAATGAAAAATACTCGTTCTAATCTTCTCACATTATATTTTGACCAATAATGTGATATTGGAATATTTCCCAAGGCACACCAAACAACATCTCAAGGCACACTGGTTGAACAACACTGACCTAATATATCAAGTCATTACTAACCTGGCCTTAGCCATCCGTACACATGTGACGTCTGGGTCTGGTCCCTGTGTTAGCGATTACAATCGGTTGAATTTCGACCGACCAACCAGCGAGCACGGAAGGCGGGTGTTGTAGTTAGTTGTAGTTAGTAATTGTCAAGAGTTTGCGTCGAACGGGCAGGTTGTAGTTTGGCAATGGCGAAAAATGCGATAGTAAAGTGATCCGGTCTGGTTCTATCAAGAAATTGAAGCCGGAGCAATAGGAATGTTTAGCAAATGTAATCGCTAGAAAAAATTGTGGCGCTACTCCCCACGGGCTCCGTTAGCAGCAAAGGAGATGGCTAGGCTAAATGCTAAATGCTAACAACTCACTCGGGCGCACTACTGTACATATGTCACGGTAAACTCAAACGCAAAAGGAGTTAACCACCTCCTATCTGTAAACGGAGCTCAATGGAACACCTCCAGACCTTAGTACGAAATGTATTTTGTACTATGGTGTGTACCACACCATAGTACAAAATACATTTCGTTCTGGCTAAGTCATTACTAGATATTCCTTAAAAACACATACAAATTTATCCTTGTTTTTCATTTTTTGGGCTGATTCACTTGAACAATAAGCGATAATCTGAGCAAAACTTTGCATGAGATCTTCACTATTTCAGTTTAGTAGAATTAGCAGTTTAGCATTTTCCATCCCTATAATCAGTCTGCAACCCTATCACAGACCGTTTCTTCAAAGCCACTGGGCAGTCTGACGATGTAGTGAAAAACCCAACTCTAGATCTCCGGAAAAACTTGCACTGGTGTTGTGCTATTCTGAACGTGTATTCTCATTGGACTCAAACTACCTTTTTTTCTGTGCAAGCTCTCAAAGTCCCTTGGTAACAGTGCAAAAGAAAAAAAGTGAGCATGTGAATATTCCATCTTCTTCACTCTGCAGTTGTTAGACGTCGACGCTGTGCACATGCGGCACTCAGCAGTCGCCTCGTTGTCTCTGCCTGAACAGCTGAGGTTTTAGCGTTCCTCCTGTTGCTGCCGTCTGCTGCTTCTTGTCGCATCCACATGAGATCTGGAGCAGGCGGAGGAGGCCGTCCCAGCTGCAGGTGAGGATCTGCTCTGCTTACAAAGACCCGGGGAAACACATGTGTCTGTTGATTCAACCGCCAGAAAATGGAAGCAAGAATAAATAGATGTCTTGTGATTTTGTCATGCAGATGTGTTTACAGTGTGGTGTCAGGGAAGACGCTGGTGCATTTGGATGTACAGTAGATTTTCTGTCAAATTCTTCCCGTCTAACCTTGTATGATTTCAAACTTTCTCGTACTTTAAATAAAGCAAAAGTAAGGATTTGTCAACATTTCACATAATCTGTTTAAGGAGGACGAGGTGCAGATGTTTGGAGCTGCCAAACCATCTGCCATCTGCATTAAAGGGAAGGTGTAAAGGGGAAGGCTGTGGTAATGTAGGAAAGGCAGAGGGGAAAAGGCTTGAAGACATGAGACACAAATATTTTGGAAAAGCGAAAGAGTGTTTTCACTTTCAAAGAAAACAGAACACGGAATATATTAATATCATTTTATCTCTTTGTAAATTGGATTTATTTTGCTAGTGCAGAGAAGAGAAACATCACAAGATGTTCTTTTTCTTTCTTGGAGCGGTCCACATTCATGCTCAGCTCATTACTCCTATGATTGCATGGCTACTCTGTTCTGCAGCTCAAATTTGCCTCCCATTTTTTGTTCATGTTACCAACCCAATTTGATTTGAAGTTCACATTTCCAGAAGGATTCCCATATGGGCTTAAGGTTAGGAGGAAAATTTGATTTTGATTTGAATTTTTTGTTGGTATTCTATTTTAACCATCAGGTTTTCAGTAATAGAATATATCACATGATGCCAAATCTCTTTTGAGTACATTCTGACCGTCTTAAAACAAGATTTGCCAATGAGCCAAGACATTGTCAAATATCCTTTTGCTTGTCCCATTGTCAAATATTGTTTTAAGGCAGTCAATATGTGCTCAAATTAAGATAGATTTGCCAAATTTGTGCTATTTTTTCCATCTATTTTTCATTACTTTTTGCCGTATTTGATTTGTTGGAAATCATGCAGTTGAAAAGCCAAATACATATACATCATCTCTAACCACAAATTGATAGGGCCAACGTTGTGGATAACCCATGGAGCTCGTAGTGGCTCTGAAATGTGAAAATGTCTGAAAACACCCTCTTCCTCATGCACCATTTGGTTGAACCCTGATGCTCAGATCCGTCCACCTCGTCCAGAACTGGTCACCGCACACACCTCCTGTTCCGCCGTCTGCCCTCCGCTTCCAAACTGGACGGACTCAAACCAATGCCCCCTCATCAGGCTGTTTCATTATGGCTCCAGATCCAGACTCTCTCCTCCAAACAACCTCCCACAACGTTTGACAAGACTATCCAATTTCCATACACAAAAAGCACCATAAGCCTTGTTTGGATTGGCACGGAACACTTGGGTTTTCGTTCTGTAGAGGCGAAAACCCAACTGAACCGGCTTCTACTACAAGGTGAAGGTTCACTTTGGGTGTGACTAGCCGTGAAACCTAAACAAACATGTTTTTCTCTCATTAAAACCAATGGAATTCTGAAAAAATCCCCCAAAAAGGTTAAGTGGTACACCAGTATACACAAAGGATTTTTTTACCTTCACTTTCTTTAAGTACTAAAACTGCTTCAAAATAGAAGAAACCCGACCAAATGCAAATTGTTGGCCACAAATAAACATTGTGTTACTATGGTAACAGTGGTCACTTCTCTGGTGAAAAACCAAGCAAGTCCTTGAAAAGGGGGCGTAAACTTGACTTGAGTGGAAACATTTGAATTTTAGTTAGTTAGTATTCCTCACATTTCATATATATATATATATTTTTCCAAACTAACATGAAATAATAATCCAAAAATATAGTCATAAACAACATAAAGAAACAGAAAACGTCAAAGTCTAGAAAAACAAAAGTATATAGGCTGAGTAAAAGCCGTCAAATCGACTGTTCTGGATGTTCTAGTGTTAATAAATAGCATTAATATTATAGAGCTCAGTCTTTCACACATATACAGTACATGCTCTGACATAAATATGAGTTGAATTGATATTTGTCTCATACACAAATAACTAAACTGAGGCAATATACAGGTAAATACACAACCATATGGACAATTCTAATTCATTCACACAACGGTACAACACCGACACCAGCATGATTTCTATCAGAGGATATTAAACATAACCCATTTCTATTTGGTAAGAAAATGGCAGGGAGATATTTGATTTCAGTCATGAGCGTATCTTATTTATAGCAATGGAATCTAGGCTGGTGATTATTACATTCATCCAAAGCCCTGCAGCTAAACAGCCCTGATGTAGCTTCCTTGACCTTGATTGCCAAATGGAAGTCGACCCTATAGAAGAATTATGTCACTTTAGACATTTGGAGCTGTCTATATATGGACTGGTGCTTTAGTATCAAGCTCTAACCAAATCACATACTCATATGGTTAGTCACTGCATGTTAGACGCCATCACAGAAAGTGTGCACATGTATTTTTATGTGATTTATTAAAGTAATGAAAGACATACATGATAATTGTATAAAGTCGGATCTTCGAGGAGGCCTGCTAAGTTCTACTAATGGCCAGGAGCTACGTTTTAGCAAAGAAAGATAAGGCAGGAGAAGAGTGGGGCTACTCCCTGCCTTATCCTTCTTTGCTAAAACGTAGCTCCTGGCCATTAGTAGAACTTAGCAGGTCTCCTCGAAGATCCGACTTGAGAGTGGGGCTAGTCCCTACTCTCACAGAAGAGGATGAGAGCAATCAACCAGGTTTTCAATTACCTTACAGTAACAGCTTTTCTACACATCTGGCCTCTATCTCCAAATGTCGCCATCCTGCATTGTGAAAAGTGATGGAAAATTTGGCCATTTTAGTCTGCCTTAAAGGAGCTATACCCATTCCACAAGATTTTATTTCAGTTTGAATGTTTAGCACCGCCCCCAACTCGCTCACAGACTTCTCACTTCCCTGTATACGCTCTCCTCCCACGAAGCCATCTAGTTTTATTTGTGATCTGATAGGTCTGCAAACATTAGCATGAGCGCAACTTCTTGTAAGCTGTACAACAATCACAGATGAAATAAAAGTAATGCACTGCTAACCAAATATATAACTGAAAGATTACTGCTAGTTTTGCGTCCAAATGTGCTCTGAGCATAGATAGTCCGAGGCGGTCCCGCTCCTGCAGGTCTCTCCAGAGGATTCGATGTAAGCTAGCTATGTTCACCCGGGCTTGATTTCTTCTTTGATCATTTTTTCGGGCAGCCTGTTCCTAACAGCGCTGCTCCTCCTTCTGTGAGTGCAAGAGAGCTAGCGTCACACAATATTTTTACGGACTGAATTCATACACAAGCTGAATTAATGAGCTCAAGTTTTTATTTAGATTACGAATGAAGTAGTAGTAGTATGAAGTAATAGGCATTTTTTTCATTAGAAAAGAAATAATATTTGCCAATGGGTAATTGTACACTTGTTTTAATTAAAACGATACATTAAATGTCTCTATTGAAATGAGAAAACAGTTCAATCCAGACTAATTGACTTTTTGATTCAAGTTACATCATATTTTCAATACAAAGTCTGTCTGTGTGTCAAGTCTCATGCGTATTTTAAGTTCCTTAAGTTATGAATTAATAGTAATTTCCCACTAGGGACATTGGAACACATTAAATGATTGTTTGAATGTGTACTAAAGCACATTTTCATTTTTTTCCCAAAGTGAAATCAAAGCTAAAGAGAAATATATGCAGCATCATAAAAAATATATTGTTGCATTGTTATGGCTTTTTCCGCTCACAAGACAGATGGGGCCCTATTCTGACAAAAGCAACGTTCTTGGCGATAATGAATTTTAGATGTGACGCTGTGAAGAGATTAGCTGTCTATTTGATCATATATGAAGTGAAAATACTTGGCCAAGTGATCCAAATAGCATGTTTTTTTTTAATGCTGGGCACTCCCGTTTGTCTGTCACTTAAAACAATAAAAACTGCTGAAGATAAATAAATTACATTAAATCATTACATCAAATTTGAAATAGTTCAAAATGTGTTTGCACAGGCTGTATCAGGAGAGAACTCTGTCTTTTCAATATATTTCTGCTCTCAGTTTTTTACTTTTAGGTTATCAAAATGTGTTTGCTACAACGTTCACACATACAGTCCTTTAACTACACAATTTGATAATTCAATACCACTGTGATGATGTTAATTCCTCTTTCTGTGAAGAAGGTTTGAGGTTCAATTCCTGTGTTAGTCTTTTCTGTTGTTTCTCCTCGTGTCTGGGTGGTTTCCTCCAAGCGCTCCTGTTTCCCACCACACAAAACTCATACTAGATGCATAACCGTGCTTCAATACCTTGCCGTGACCACTGCTCCTGACTGGTTGCCCAAGTGGAATTGAAGGATGGATCAAATGCAGAGGGCCCTTCAGGCATAATAAAGTATACCTTGACCATAGGGTCCTGTGAGACCTCTGAAACTAAGCAGGGCAGGTCCTGGTTAGTGCGGTAATGGGTGACCTCTGGGAACACCAGGTGCTACTGAGGGGCGGCCGTGAAGTGCAAGACTGTCATTGTGTCCTTAGGCAAGACACTTCACCCACATTGCCTAGATTGAGTCTGGTGTGTGTGTGAATGGTTGGTGGTGATCAGAGGGGCCAATATCCCCCAGGGCAGCTGCGGCCTCAGTAGTACTTCATCACCACCTTGTGTGGAGTGAAAGAACATTCTTTGAGTGTCCATAAAGGCACAACTGATAAACTCCTCAATAGTGACCCAAAGCCACCACCATAAGGCAGGAGACCTGGGAAACAAGGGATTTCTATCCTTGACATTATGAGTTAATTGCAATTCATCCACTGAGTTTACCTTTAATTGAAAAAAGAAATGACGAATAAGGTTGTGACTCAAAGGAGAATAATTGACATAGAACTGTGAAGTGCCCCGGTAAGACCTTGATTCAATAACCTGACAGATTACAGAGGCTTAGAGTCAACCTTAGCGTCGAGAGCTCCCACAGGACCCATGGATCCACTTGGCCAGGAAGCAAGAAGATCTGGGAAATGTCTACAGATATACCACAAGCAAGATATACAGTATACTGCGTGCTTGTCAAAGATGGTGTTTATGGTGGTTTATGTGTTACACAGAGGGGTTATCACAATCATACAATTAACAACAATCTGACTGATGGTTAATGGCACATGTAAGGAAGACAGCTGTGTTCATTGTACAGTGTGAACAATTTACACTAGGATACCCAGAAATATGAAATTACTAGTTTTTCATCCAAATGTCTTTTTGTGTTTTTGCTTTTTGTCCTGAGTTCCTGTCCTGAGTCCTGGTTATTTATTTTTTCTAAATTAAACCGCTCATTGATGATGAATCCAACCACATCTGTGTCTCTACATTGGGGTCCAAGTTTCTGATTTAGCATATAGACTCACAATGACCACAATCAGAATTTTGGCTCAGAAAAGACGATTCCATGTTCTGATGATAATAACTAATAGATGTATTTCCTGTGCATATCACATCAATATACTTCTTTCCTTGCACCACAAATAAACCAAAGTAAAAAAGCAGTTATGTTGGCCCCATATCCTCTATCTGAAAATATGACAAGACAAAATGGCTGGAGCGTGAACAATAACAATGGGGAGTATACAATAGAGATTCTCCACGGCGATAAGGACAGCAGATGCACCAGACCATTTGTTTCTTTGTTTGTTTTGTTTTTCTATGTCAGTATATCAGTTTTGTAAAGTTACAGAGGACAGTATGTAATATGCACTCTTACTTGGCTAATACAGTCATTAAAATTACAAATCTTCTTCCTTCTTTGAAGAATCTTACTACCTGTGACTGTTGCTCCTGAGCACTGATTGCTGAAGGAATCCACCGGCTACAGTTTAGCTAGAAGTTCTGTGGGTTACGTATAACTGATTATTTTGGTATGTGCTTTTATTCAAACAAATGTGTCGTGCTATTTTTTACTGTGAATTTTGGCATCAAGCCCCGGCGATCCAAGATGGCGTCCTATTCAAATCAATGGCTTGGGCTCAGTAGCATATGTGCCACCATTGTGACCGAAAGATTAGCAGAACACACCCATAATGTCTGGTCCTCCCGGTTCTGCGCAGTGGACGAACTCTCATGATGCTTTGCGCCAAATAAACGTGTGTGGCTCTCATGCACCTGCATAGAAAAAAGCAGCCTCCCCATGTTTAGTCTTGACTCTGGGCACTAACAGGAGTCCAGTCCCTGTGCTCCTCA